AAAGCAGATGTACAGCAGTTGGGCGAACTCCCTAGATTTTTCGACAATCTGGCGTAGGGCGAAAATGTGGTCAGATGTGCTTCGGCTGAACCGGTAGCCGCAGTGTTCTTGTATCTTGGAGTCATATATTTCCCCACACTTTAACATAAACTTCACTCGGGAGAGTCAATAAGGTAATGCCCTGACAACTGGAGCACTACCTTTGGTCTGCCATCTTGAGAATGTACTACAACCCCCCTTCATCAATCCGCCGGTGTCTTCCCGCAGTTATCGCAGTTTCACAGACACGTGTTAGCCAAATATGCCTTGTTTGCCTAATGCCTTGAGCATTTCAGGGCGGATTTCGTCAATTCCAGCAGCTTTTCCATTTTTCAAGCTTTTCACAGCCTGTGCAATTTCATCTAAAGAGATAGTAATATCCGTACCCTTCTGCTCTACAGGCGAATCTTCCTGCGGTTGTTTGGGGTTAACGAGTTTCACAAAGTACACTCTCCATCGCCAAAAGATGACCTTATCCTCGGTAAGAGGGTGTCCAGATCTGTCCTTCAAGACTCTGAGACTACCCTTCTTTTAACCTCGGAGTCGGCGATAGTCAGCAAGAATACCTAGTTTGCCATCTGGAAAATCGACTCCAACACCTAACCAAACTTCTCCCAGGACTCAGCTTTGGCTTTCGTCACCGCCTCGACATATCGCACGAGAGTAAAAGGCTCCTTGTTTCCAAGCCAATTCTCGAACACTGCTTTCTTCTCTTTAACTGCCATTTGTACCTCCCCAGTCCACCAGGAACTTCTTTTATGACCTCCAGGTGACAGGCTAACCAATTTGAAGCCGCAACATTCGGCAGTAGCCCCGAGTACTGCGCTTTTAAAGAGCTCCCACTGGGTTTCTACATCTGTAATCATCAACGGGATCTGTTCAAACCATGTTGCGACACTGTTCGAAAGTTTTATTCTCTTATCCACTAAAGACAATCTTTCCCAATGTACCAGGTATACTTAGGCACGCTTCGATTCTCGAAGAATTCACTCATAATAGACAATCCGTTGCTTGCACAAAATCGCAAACAACTTCATGCCGTTACTATTGAAGTCACTAGGGCCATTCTTTTCAGTCACTCCTTTCTCTTTTAGAATAACACAAGTGGCATAGTTTGAAGATTGAATTCATGGTTGTATCAAAACGAGTAAGAAATTTCAATTTGTGGACGTAGTACGCGTATCTGAGCGCCCTGTGCTTCGCAGGTAGCAGAAGCTGATTACTTTTTTTAAACAGGTGCAACCAAGTTGAAGAATGGCTGGGTCTTTGAAAATTATTTACTAGAAGCAGCCTTAAAGTCAGACACGGATCGCCACCTATCATAAGAACAGGAACACCGGAAATGCAAAATATATCAGAACGGCTTCTTCGATTATAACTATTAATATTTAGCGGTATCTCAAGAATCTGCTTTCGTTTTTGATACCAGGCGACTAGCGGTTTGCTTAGGAAAGCGCAGAGGGCTAACATTTTATAATGCAAGAAGAAATAATGATAAAATGGACTTCACAATTTTTAAAATCGTTAGCAACAGAGAATTAGGCTGAATATCAACTTATTCACTAGACTGGGGCTGAGAATCCTGCAGGAGTAGAGAAAAGGGCGAAGATGGAACATATAGTAATATCTGAGTGTAATGACTCATCTAGAGATTTCATAGAGTTTACGCAGAGTTATACGGCGCTGAACTCCGGAGGACACTTTAACCTAGAGTTCTGTTTTTCAAAGGCAAGTATGCAGGCTATTCGCCGCTAAAACATATACAATCATCTGACAGGCCTTTACTCAATATGTTATGTTGCCATATCTGCCGCCTATACGCAAATTCTGTTTTTAAAATGAAGCGGTACCGCTTAACGGTGCGAAAACGAAGATCAGCGATGGCGCAAATACAAAGCACTTAGCACTTCCTCAGGGAAGGAATCATATTCTCAATCCAAATTGGGCGACAAGACCAGTAATAATACTATAGCTTTAGACTGCAGGTCAGTAAGAGGAATGCCACTCACCTTCTTACAGGTTACCATTCAATGATTCTGTTAACTAGGTTGGGTTCTGCCAGAACACCAATATTGGCCTGACAGCGCGTCGTGATGCGGACACCTGAGTAGTATAGCTTCGACCCGTAGAGGTTCAGCATTCCAGACCCTTTGCGCTTCGTTGGCCAGCATCCATGTCCAGTTGGTATCTTATGGCCTCATGAACTAACACCTGCTCTTTCCCTCTGTGAAGATGTTCCATTTCCGATTCTGTTTATATCGACTATATACGTTCGAGTATCTAATCTTTCCCGTTGAGCCTTATCTAACAAATTATAATGGCATCATGGTGTCTGTCTCTTCCGTTCGAAACTGGTAGAAGCTCTATTGCTGATTAGAATCTTCGTCGTCATTTTGGCCGTGCTGCTAGAAGACAGTAAACAGGTTCTGCTAGCCCACTCTTCGCAGCCTGCCTGTCATCAAATAACCTGCGCGGCGCTTAATAACCCGTGCGACGATATAACGTCCAACTGACGTTCGATGACAGTATCATCAGGAGAGGTGGCTAAGTTTAACGGAGACATCGCCACATTCTCCAACCCTCGTCCTTTCTCATCTGGGCTTAGGACGAGCAACGACGTTGTTACTTCAGCTCTGCGGTACTAGAAGTGTAGTATGCCATGAAATCAAATTTTGCAGGATTCATTCGCTTATTAATACATTCAGAAGTAAGAACCGATATTATATCATTCTTTATGTACCGACTGACTGATCCTTCTTCTTAATTAAGGGGGATTACCGCTACCTGGTGGCGAAGCCCACTCTCGCCGCATGATTTGTGGCCACACTTTCCTACTAGTCTATTTCAGTTCATCCTCTTCTCAGTGACAAGGTCTTCCAACAGGGTGCTTGCAGCTTATTGAATACGAGTTCGTCACTGTTCAACTGATCAGCCATCCGTGAACCGTGGATATAGCCGTCATAATGCCACTTAGAACTAAGGGCCATTTTAAGTTTTGCTTTCAATTTTTATATTTATGGAAATCTGTCCAAATCTGCCAGACCATTATGCCATGTGACAATCTTGTGAAGCTTGGTCTGTTTCTTCTCAGCGAGTTCAGACACACCCACCAGTTTTTCGGCGGTTTCTACTCCGTATATCATATTATATATTATACTCGTATGGTTAGTGAAAGAACATAAGTACCGGCCATCATCTTTGACAAACAAGGTATTACCCTACAGAATAAAACAATGCATCTTGTCACCACTGCAGATGCTAAAGTAAAAACGTATTCTCCTTAAATGACTCCTTAAGCGTATAGAAGGAAGCGTGCAGTTCACCATGAAATCTGGTCTTAAGGTCAAGCACTTATCAGTTACTGAAAATAAATCGCTTTTATAACCTAATCCTCTTTAATACAAAAAACTTACGGAGCTGCAGACAAGCCACGTGTTAAATTAATTTCAGCGTATCTACGCCCATGAAAGAAACACCCTGAGCAAAAACTAAGATATATTCACCATTCCCTCCTACGAATGTATTATAACTCTGTCTGCACTTAAGAAGTTGCTAAGGAAACCATAGACAGCAAGCTGGAAATACGACACGAGCTTTGGACAACCAACAAATCATAACGAACTCAGTACCCCATCAGAAGAGATTCCTCCAATACGGACCAAAACATCGATAGGAATCTATCATTAAAGTTGCGGTTTGTAAACTAAACTAAAAGTTGCGCTTTGTGAGATGAACTGTTTCGTACCTATAATTCACAGTTAGCGCTGAAAAAAGATACATGAGGAACCATTCAGCATTCATGGACGCCAAATATGCCTCTTATTATGTATGCGCGAAAACAAATGAACTGCAGGAAACTTTATTAAGCTAAATTCTACAGAAAAACGAACAATTTTTTGTCACTCTAGATTTTTTGCAAAATCTTTTAAGCCGTCAGATCATTTCGGATTCGCCAAACCTATTACACCACATGCAACGCGTTCGCCCGCATTTCCGGTCTTCAGACTTTCTTCATCACCTCCTTTACCTAAAAATATCAGTTAAAAAATGAGGAACAAGAATAGAAGATGTACGGATCGTTTGCTTGGTATAAAAACAGATTATCCTAATATACTCTCAAGTGAATAATTTTTGAAAACTTTTCAATAAGCGAGGTCCAAAATCACCCAAAAGCATATCCAACCTTCCTGATAATTTACATATCCACGAAGGAAACAAGCCATCTATACAATATTTATGTTAAATGGATGCAGGAGTATGTACAGGGGACATTTCCGCCTGCAACAATGCTTATGCTGCGTGTTTAGCTGAGTATCAATTCGAGGAGCAGCTGCCGAATCTGTAGGTACAACTGGCAACTTCTGCTGATAAATGACCAACAAGTCTTGGTCATCAGTAATTGAGTACCGGTATGAAGACTGTGCCCCATGAGTCAATTTATGACTTGGAATCAATGCGGTGCAGACAGGGCATTGATCCCACAGCTTCCACGAAACTGCGAGTAAAAAAGGACAAAGAAATCCTCCTCCTAAAACAGTCATTTAAGCCTTTCCAGAATCTAAAAACTGCCATTTGCGGTCACCTCCCAAAGTTGTCTACAACGGGGATACACTGAAGATAAACTCCAGTTGAAGCTTCAAGATGACCAGTATTTATCTTTGAAGAGTTCGCCGAGCACTTTATTGCCTACCCCAAAATAGAGGAAAGAACGAAAGGCACAGACATCAACAGGGTCTGGAATATACATTAACAAGTAATCTTTGATCTAAGCTCATCCTAATGAAACAGTGAGAAGAAAAGAAAACATGAGTCAACTGCCAAAACAAATTTGATTACCGAGATCATCCACCTGCTTGTGCACAACCATGGTACGTCCAACTACAGAATGTTCGCCAATCAATTTGATCTGGTCATCGTTCATATCGAAGGAAGCCGTCCCATCGACCCCGGCTTCAACATTGCCAAGGTCACCAACGTGTCGAACAGCATCCTGAATTTTAAAAATAAATAAGGACAGCATACCTAACAAGTTTGTGCAAATAAACAAAAACAAATCACCAAAGACATCAGAGACAATAAACATCAAATTAACAAATGCGGAATTTTAATATTCGGAACGCATTTGCTTTACGCGTTTACTGTCGGGGTAAAATGATCTAAAAACTCTCACGTTAGTGGTACTAATCAAGCAACAAATATGTGAAAAAGAAAATCAACAGACGGATGACATCTGACCTGCAAGAAAACCTTGTACTATGGTGACGGAGAAATACTTCCCTCTGAACGATTGTAATGCAATTGCTACTACTACCTGTATTGCGACTATCTAAGTCTCGCTAAATTAAATATGACAAGGTGAAGACTTAAACGGTGACTTAGAGAGAAAGTCTCAAGATGAAGGCCGGGTTGAAATAATATTTCATAACAGCTGATTAAAATAAGTACGAATTTTTAATTTATCACTCATTTTATTTACAAATGATTCACTTGTGGGAGACTGTTGTCCATTCGAAAGTACGGTCTTGCATTTCATCATGATAAACCACCTACAGGATGGATCTACTTTCGTGTAGTTACTCCCACTCTATAGGGATGTAGAACCTTGTTAGCATCAAACTCGCTGCTTCAACTTTACAGGGTGACAGACGCAGTAGTGAATAGCTATACAAAGCTGATTTCTAAATATGAAACAAGAAAAAACATACAACAGACTGAGACGAGGCAATCAGATACTAGACGTTGCTATGGTACAGAACTGCTACCCAGGAGTAGCTGATCGTCTCATCCCGTCTAACGCCCCAGCAATGATTTTTTCACTGTAATGGCCTTTAGAGCCGTCATCTTCATCTAGTCAAATTCTTTAAGAATCACTCTGATGTAGTCTCAATGCAAGATGTTTCGTTCATATTCTGCTCCACTACAAATGCACATTTCGGGTAAGCCCTGCTTATGAAGAAAATATGCTCCTGTATCCTATTCTTAAGCTTCCTCAACAAAGCTTTTAACCAAAAATACAGTTAAGACGGAAAAACACCACATGAGCCATTTTTCCTGGTAGGATCCATTTCTAATACAGATAATTACGTGTCCTCCAAGACTGGCATACAGTCCTTACGTAGTTTGCTCATTAACCTTAGCATCCTATTACCTTTACAAATTTCCGTGGAGTTCTATATCTTTTGATATTGATTTAAACTCCGTCACCGCCTGCCCTCAGCCTTGATGAGAAGGGAAGAAGTTTGGACACCGTGGAGATGTCTCCCATAAAACTTAGCCAATTTCTGCCCTCATGGTACTGCCTCCATCCAACGCTATATCAACTTGATCATCGCTTGGGTTACCAAAGGCAGCACAGTCTGTTGAAGAACCGAGAATGACTGCAAAAAGTCGGTGATCAGAATGCTTAACGCCGTCCAGCAGTTGGAGTAGCAACAAGCTACTGAAAATCGACAAAGGCAGCGGTCAGCAACGGAGTCGCTATCCGCTCTCTGAACGGAGGAGGTAGAAATCGCGAAGCCATTATAGCAGGTCACATAAGGTTCAGGTGGCGCCTACAGTCGAGAACTGGAAAATCTCTTCACTCAGTGAGAAAGTGTCGAATCTAGTTGATAAGGCTGCAAGTTAACTGGACATAGTTCGAATCTCGTGAACGCAACGGCAGGACTCTGGTATTCCGTAACTCTAAGGTGAAAGCTATTCTGCTCAGCTATCGACTTCACGACACGTGCTAAGATCGGTGTCTGGTAGCACCAAAGCTGACTGCTAGATTCATTTAACAGAGGCCTGTCACATATACAGAAATTAAGAAAATGCTTTAATCCCACTATTATTCAGGAACGGATAGGCGAACCGGTCAAAAATAAGGAAGCATTACTCCCCTGGAAACCTTCTTTTAAAAACGCTTCCACGAAGTTATTCAAACCTGATCACTACGAATAGTTTTCTAGTTGGACTTGCAACAGAAAAACTGTTCCATTTCTTGGTGTACAACTCGTATTTAATCTTTGAGGCAGAAAATAAGTACCACTATTTTGGAAAAGAGAGACGAATATGGGCTTTGGTGAACACGTAACATCATGTGTTGTCTCCAAAAAATGTCACTTCTCAATGATGGCATCGTCATACCATAAGCACCACAACAACAAGTAAATACAAGTCATAGGCATATGGGATACCAACACCTCAAACGTTAAAAACTTTTCTTTTTGGGATGAAATGCACTTGGTCGGGTCTCTACTATTCAGCCTTTTCAGATGAAAGACCCTGCCAGTTTCGATGGTTAGCCGGTAAAGTTTTAAGGGTCAGTATGATATCCAAGCGTTCTGGCCATGTAAAGATGGCATTTTACTAAGTGATGATTTATCAAATTAATCGTAGTTCTTGTAATTCTATTTCGTAAAATGCGCTTAAACTGCGGCTGATGGATCATTAGCATTTATTCAAAAATGTCGAATTTTAAGCAGTCCTGCTGTAGGCTTGGCTTTCCATACCTACAGGCATTTGCTTTAAGTCCTTTTCCTGTTTACATAATTTAATTTATTTCATCTGCATTCGACATGAACAGCAGTTATTATCAGGCCTGCAGTGTTCATAGCATGCTCTTAAAATATGCAACTGAATATTTTAAAACAGTATAAGTTTTAATACCTGCTGCATTTGCTATTCAAGAAACACTATATTTTACGGACAATGAATTGCGAATTTAATGAAATTTTTATTTTAGCATTACAAGAAAAAACAAGTTTAAGGCTATGATAACGGTTTAAGTACTAGTACCTGCGGTCCACCGTGAGTTTTTTGGAAAGGATTGTAGTGAGCACCAGCGGAAATGCATCCGGCCGTGTTATCTCCCCATTCATGAACATGAAACCCATGCTTTCCGGGAGAAAGTCCAGAGATTTTTCCGTATATGTGGGTATGATCATGTTCTGAAGCCTAAAACATTTCAGATGAATGGATACCGTATCCCGTAACATTTAGAGCATACTTGTTCGAAATGAACAACTCCAGAAATACCGTCGCCATTCATAACGCAAACAGCTTTTACTGGCATCTTTGTTCTGAAAAATAAAAGCAAATAACTTATCAGTGCATTTAGACAGTACTCGCGCAAAGTGAAAGAAACAAAGAAACAAAGTCCGAAAAGTGAGGCGAAATTTTCGAGTCCGTAGAACATTACCGCTGAACCACAACACAGCTATGGTTTATGCACTGCAACTGACGGTCTATGCATCGGACGATATGGTGGTCATTCATCTCGCATGCCCTGGAATGACCACATTAGAAATCACGCTGCCCGAATTATTCGTCGGTCATTGCCTTGCTACCAAATTTCGGTTAGTTGCGTCGATGAACAGCGAAACGAATTAGTTGATCAAAGAATTTAGTAGTTAATAAGAACAATTTTATGCTGCATTGCACCCACCCCCTACAACTGCAACGTTAAGATGCATATATGCAGCTGAAAATTTACTGCATTAAGAATACAGAGTAAAAAATAGGCATAAAAACTAACGTAAACGACCGTGATAATATGAAATCTAAAGCAATTATAAAACTAAATTAAAAATAACCCGTAAAAATGACAAAAATATAACTTAAAAAATAAGCTAAAAAACCTTAAACAAAACTATTAAAACCTTGCTATTTTACAATGGTCACAAGGTTTTTCTGTTTCGATATCAGTGACTATTTGGGAACCATTAATTGAACAGTCAAATCAAATGTTACCAAAGAGTTGCAGTGGGGCGAATACTCGGGAACCACATGACGATTTTCTTCACCATTTAGCATAGGCATTACGTTACTTGAACAATGTAGTTTCCATAAGCAATATTAACACAGAAAAAATATTCAAATTAACATTTATCATTTAGGTTGATAACATGTTCAGTTATAAGACACTGTGTTCGAACGATCTGTTATTACATTCATTTAAAACAGACGAAGAAAATAAATCTGACGTGTCACGTCGTTAATTTATTTTTTGTAAGAGACCTCAACTGTCCACTGCCTTTGATGCCTCGTAATTTTGTGACTCCAAGCTTTGCTATTTCACCGGAAATACAAAGCGTACAAACACCCAGATAATAAATTCAGGAAATCATACCTTTTATTACTGCAACAGATAAAGTCCTCGACGTGAAGAATTAACAGAATTTAAAAAATTAACCATGCACATGCAAATATGTAAAACATACTACGAATTGTCAACGCATTGAGTAAAAGATAAAAGTAACTTGCTTGCAAATGATAAGTTGTTACCGAAGACTAGCAGTAGTTAATCAGCTGTCACAAAAAACGTTGAGCAAAAGGTTAATTAAATCATGTTAAAGAATTATACCTAAATCCATCCAAGAATTAATTAAGTAACGTCATGAGCGAATAATTTTACACATTATTAATAAGCAGCGAATTTCAGGTCTAAGCTGTACTTTATCCTGAATAACAATGACACAACAACGAACGACTCGTTCGCTTCTTCCTAACCGCCACTCCATACGGTTCTACTTTTCTGCCGAACGCGACTAACACAGGGAACATATTGCAATGAAACCGCAGACAACAGTGCTTCTGCTATATACCATATTGGTTCGATTGTTAGGTACAACCAACATCCATAAATGATATATTATTTGGTAGGCTGCATTAAATAACGCAGAA